TCAGGCAAATACAGTAGCATACTTCTTTTTTCCAATAACAGTTTATATTCAATATTATTCTGTATTAGTTTCAGATATGCAGCAGAATGGTTAGACAAGCATATACTTTACAGAGTGGTCTCCCCGATATTTCAAGTACCTGCCTGGCCCCATAATCGTTACTAGGATATTATGGACTGTATTCCCTATGCTGTACTTTACGTCTCTGCAGCACTTCTACAACTATTTCTAAATGCATAACAAAGTTCCGTTTAATTCTTTCTACTATTGAGGAGTTTCTGCAAGGGACCAAAGGCCAAGAAAAACAAACCAGCTACCAGAGGCCCAGAGATTATAAATCCTAAAGCAGTGGTTCTCAACCTTCCTAATGCCGCAACCCTTTAATACAGTTCTTCATGTTGTGGTGACCCCCAATTTCATTGTTACAAATTGAACATCATTAAAGCATAGTGATTAATGACAAAAACAATATGTAATTATATATGTGTTTTCCGGTGGTCTTAGGCGACCCCTGTGAAAGGGTCGTTCGACCCCCAAAGGTGTCGCGACCCACAGGTTGAGAGCCACTGTCCTGAAGCAAGGCCAGAGACCACTGCATGAAACTGGCTTTGCCCACCTTAGCTTGTGCCCCATTGTGAAGGTGTAGAGAGATCTGGGTGACTGACGGGGGTAGGGAGGGAGCTGACAGTGTGAAGGGTTATGGAAAGCTGGGTGGTGTGCTGGGTGCGTGCCCTGCCCTCGCTGCTCAGTCTTAGCATTTCCATCAGCTTCACTGACACCACTTGGAGAGACATGTGTCACCTTAAAACAGAGGGATTTGAGGGCTGATATTTTACTCATAAATCCCCTACATAGGAAAGGCCGTGGCCCTGGTTCCCTGTGGGTGGCCAGTGAACATGAGGTTGCTGTCTTGTCAGAGAGCCGCGCTGCATCCACTGCAGGGCAGAGCCAACAGAGGACCATTTCATTTCAAGGAGGAACTTGAGAATTTGCTTCTCTAACAGGTGCCAGGTGGTGCTGCCAAGCACCCTCTGAGGCTCTGCTCCCTAATTAGCCCTGCCCGCAGAGGTCACAGGGGTCAATGTCATACACGTGGTCACAGGGCATAAGCACACATTATTTTATAAAACCGGGCAGGGGAGCACAAATGCTTATGTGCATTTTATCACTTTCCCAACACAAAATCTTTTGTGAACTCTTATTGAATGTCAGCATCCCAAATATTAAACTAAGGCCCTTTCGTGACATCTTTGTTAAAATAAGAATTCTGTCCTTGCCTTCTCCATCCATTCCTCCCTGTGTAGGCTTGTAAAACTTGTTCACACTTTATATACAAACCTGAAAATGCAAGGATATGGATGAACATTTTATAAAATACAGTAAACCCTCGATTTTGCAGACCTCAATTTAACAGACTTTGGATTTAACAGACAAAATTTCCAGCCCATGTGTCATATGTGAAAATTAATACCCTGTTAATTTTAAAATGCTTTTAACCAAGATTTGCTTGTAACTAACAGGTTATATATATTTTTTGTTATTAATTCATTGCTATTTTTAACAAATTTTAGCAAATAGGCCATATGTTGGAAAAATGTTTTAGTAATTTCACCGACATAAATAAATATTACATATCTGCAACTACAGTCTACATGTTAAAATCCAAGAGTCACCAGTCGTAACAATGTTTGGCGAATGATCAGCTGGATGATTAGCATGTAATCACACCGAATGATTAGCTCGTGATCGCACTGAATGGTTACCACGTGGTGACACCGCATCACACGCGGGATCATTGGTTCTGTAGTCTCCTGTTGTGGCTTTCTACCACAGTTTTAACGTGTGCCCACAATGTTCCCACCTGCACTAAGCCACGCCCCAGCTGTGTGCATTCGTTTACTCTCAGTAACTGGTGGGTACATATGTTTACTAGATCTATTCGGTATACATTTAAAATTAGTGTAATACATATAGAAAACTTCTATATGAAATTAAACTTTCCCTGTATACTTCATTTTAATTACACAAAAAGGTCTACATAAGTAAAAACAGGTAAACTAACTACTTTGTCATTTTTGACATTTGCATTTGGAAAACCTACTTTATGATATAACGGACTTTTGGCTTTAACCGACAGCCCCTTGCCCGAATTAGTCCATATTTCTGAGATTTTACCAAAGGCTGGTATCTGGTGATGCCTTGTGCTGACGATAGTTTGCAGTAACTGGATCGTGCAGAGGAGGGCGCTGTGGTACCACATTTCCCTGTGTGCTGTCAGTGAATTCCTGAATAGTCCCTGCAGGATTTATAAAGTAGGAAAGTTAGAGGGTCCCTTCGCACTTCTCTTTTTAAAATACTCCTGAGATTGGGAAGTGACAACTTCAGAATTTCTACTGTTGGAACTAGAAGTCTTTACCTGACTTGGTCCATCCTTGCCAGCCCCTGATACTTTCCTATTTGCGGTTCATTAATTTGGAAGAATGTGTTTCAGCCGCGGCATCAAAATTCTCCTCAAATTTAAGAAGACCCCTTTTTATGGATTTTTTTTCCCCTACAGCCAGTTTTATGATTGAGGGTTGATTTGATACACGTATTTTGTTACTGAAAGTATTCTCATCCACTTGGAATACTTAGAAGGAAAGCTGCTTTTCTGCAGCATCCTGCACTGCGTGTTTGGTCCTGTTGAATATTGAGGTGATGCAAGAAATAGTTACTAAATCACAAAATGTTATCACCAAATGAAAATCAGTTCTGTACTTCTACAGATTACTCAGATTAACATTGCAATAGATCAATAACAAAACGAATTTTTAAAACTCAGGCTTACCTGTGAAAGCCAAGATACCCATATTAAGATTTTTTTTCAATTCAGTATTGGTTAATTAACAATAGATTCGATATTGAAGCATGTGGTTTTCCCCTAGCCCCAGTACTAAGGTCGCTCCGTTATTTGCGTGGACTACTATGTAAAATGTAGTTTGATGAGAAAGAAAGTACAAGATGAAGTGTGAATTATCCACTGGCTCTAATGAACCCTTATAAAGAAAACTGTGTGCTGACTGGCCAGTGAGGGGCGGGAAATGAATGGTGTTCGTAAATAAAGCATTGTTTTCTCTAAGAAGCTTTCTGGAGCCTCTTGATCAGACTTGAAGTACCGTGCCCTCCTCGAAAAGAAACGATAGGATCTTAAGCGTCATCCTGGAAGGGAAGTAGGGAGCATCTGCCTCAGTCACTGATCGGCAATGGCTTTGACAGCAAGTAGCAGCGCCCTGGGAAATCTGGCTCAATCAGACGGGGCTGTTTTCCTGGCGTGTGAGTGGCAGCGGTGGCGGGGCTGTTGCTCATCGGGCTGAGGTCTCCCCAATGCGCAAGGCTGTCCTCCAGGCTGCAAGGTGACTGCTGGGACTCTCACTGGTAACGATGAATTCCAGGGAGCAGAGAAGAGGAAATGAATGAGGGGGAGAAGGGGCAATTCCAGGTCCGGATGGAAAAACTCCGTATGCCCATAGAGAGCCGCTCATCTCTCGTTGCTGGCAAACAGCCACTGTCCGCCTTTGCCAGGGAAGGCTGGAAAGCAGCTCTGCTCTGGACACAGTGCCGACCCCCGTCGAATTACTGGCCTGTTAACAAAGGAAGAGAAGAAGGACATCCTCTCCCCAAAGTGCTCTGTCGTAACCTCGGACACAGTTCGCATCTTATGACGAGGCAAGTGGGCCTAGCCAGGCTAAAGGACTTCACCCACATCTCAGAGCCAGGGCATGGACGTAATGGATGCCCTCTTGTGTTCTATTGGGTTGTGCCTGGAATTTTATGTGGGGGTGGGGGTCTTCGAAGTTCTAAAGATTTTGCTTTAACAAGAGCACTGTAAATACAGAAGACGAAGACGAAGAATCACAGATTGTTGAAAGCTTAGCCCATGACATCACCTCTAATAAGACCGTGATTGGATTTTCCTACAGCAATAATGCAAAGAAAAATACAATCACAGTTCCTCGTGCAAAAATGAAGTGGTACCCTAGCTGTCAAAGCATCGCCATTTCATTTGAGGGTCTATTTCTTCCAAGTTAATAATGGACTTGCTCTGGCTGGTGTGGCTTGGTTGGTTGGGCGGGGTCCTGTACACCTAAAGGTTGCTGGTTTGATTCCTGGTCAGGGCTCAATCCCTGGTAGGGTGTGTGCAGGAGGCAGCAGATTGATGTTCGACTCTCACATGGATGTTTCTCTCCCTTTCTCTCTCAAAAAATAAATAAAAAAAATATTTTTTAATTAACAATGGACACATTCTCTCATATAACCCATCATGTATGACTCTAACAATAGTTCCCCCCACCACCACCCCCTGACGGAGTCAGCAGCCCTCAACTCCCTGCACAGGGGGTGACTGGGGGGCAGCCGTTGTACTCGTAGTGACTGTGGAAAATCAAGACTGCTCTAAGAGGGCCCTCCACTGGTTTCCTCATGTTGCCCAGATAACAAAAGTAGTGTTTTCTAGAAGACTTGTGAACCCATGTTGACTTCCTCCCACAGCCATTCAACTATTTTGTTGAATTTATACATTAAAAAATGCAACACTGTCTCAGGTTCCATATTCATCCAAGAAGAAATCATTTATTGCTACTAGTACTTGTAACCTAGTGCCGCAAAGAAGTGAGATGCAGAACCCTGGGAGGAAATTTTTTCTAAAAATATTACAGGTATCCCATTCATGCTACGGGGCAAGAAAACTGTAGGCTAGCAAAACAGAAGTGACTTGATTTAGTTCATGTGGACACTAGGAAAATATCGTTTTCATTTTCATATTCACCTGAGTTACCTATAATGCCACAGGTTATGATTTCAAATCTTTCTAAACATGAAGACTAATTTGAACATGAGTGTCCTCTGGCAAGGCAAACATTTCATGTTTTCCCTCCAATCCTGATCTCTGTGTGGGGTGTACATGGGGGGCCAAAATGTCCTAGTTAGAAACTCAGTCTCATGCGATTTGTTTCTGATTGCAGTGGGAGAAACTACAGATGACCACGAGCGAAAGGAGGAAAATATTCTGCTCTGTCACATTCCATGTCATCGCCATCACCTGTGTGGTGTGGTCCTTGTATGTATTAATAGATCGGACAGCGGAGGAGATCAGGCAAGGCAATGACAATGGTAAGAGCACCTTCCTTTTCTCTCTCTCTCTTGGATTCTATGACAATACCCAGAGCTGGGTAGGAAAACCATTTCCCCAGTTTAGATCTTCATGTATGATGCACTAGGAAAAACCAGTACTGGAAACTGAGTCTTCTCCAGTTGTGCTCCGGCTCTAAAGCATTAGATGTTTGGGGTCCCAAGCGGAGAGGCGAGATAATGAAGTCCATGGAGACCTGGGTGGGGAGAAGTACTTGTATGCCATCCACCACTCCAGACTTCACAGCAGCTGGATAAGGATCAGGTTCTTCCTCCTTTGCAAAGGCAAATAGTTGTAAAAATGGAAGGCCTTTTATTTTATTTAGTTCACCCTAATCATTGGTTCTTTTAGAACATGAATAAGATGATACTCTGGTAGAGAATGTTATAGCTTGTTACTCAATACCGTGTAATGTGGTAGGATTAGCACTGTGGTTTGAAATTTTAAACATACTAGGTTTGACTGTCGAGTCTGCAAAGAAGGGTGTTTAAAAGTCATTAAGGCATAGTCTACCATTTAACGTGCATCGGTGGTTTAAAATTGATTGTCTTCACTTCTGAAGGTACCCCCTGTTTCTCACCAGGCTCTCAGTGTTACCATATAGCCTCAAACATAGACAGTAAAATAGTGAGAAATAGTCCCCTAGCCCCCTCTTCCTCGCGGGGGGAAGGGGAAACAAAATTAAACCCCTGGTGAATTTGAAAGGAGAAATTGTTCAGATGGTAACTGTATCTTTGCACGGTTATGAAATGTTTATTCATCTCCCTCAAAAAAGAAGGAGCATGAAAGAAAGAAAAATATGAGAGGAAGTGAGGAAAATAGTTTTAAAAGGGAAAGCTTTGTTACTTCTATATCTCTTCGGTTTCATAAAAGCAGAAAGGAAAGATGTTGCATTCTCACACTTGCCCTCGTGGTGGCAGCAGTGCGCACCAACATGTTTAAGGGGGGTGACCGAGGAGGGGGCGTGACGGAGTGACAGACAGATCCCGCTGCTCTCTTCTGAAAGAGAATGAAAGTGCTGTGGTTAGAAACACAGGTAGGGTGAGGTTTTGTTTGTTTTTTGGCTCAATCTTAACTCATGTCTATACAATTCATGTCAAACTACATTGTTTAAAACTACATTATGCATTGTTCCTGGGGTGCTGGATTTAAGCATGTCTATTAGGTCCTTATTAAATAATTCCCTAGAAGGTAGGACCTTTAAAAAAAAGTCCATGTCCCCTATATGTACAGGGACTGGCCCACGCCACGTCACAGAAAACGCTCCAGAAACATTGCCTTGCATATGTATGGGAAAACGGAGGCATTCCACCACCATGCCCACCTTCCTATACCCGACATACGACCTCGCGACTCCAGGGTTTTCTAGCAATCTGGGGCAGACAGGATAGCCAGAGACTGCGTATCTGTAGATGTCTAACGCGGAGTTTGGTGTTTGGGAGTCATGAACTTGCCCAGTGTGGCCCTGCCCTCTCCCAGGGGTCACCCCGATTTGGTCCGGGTACACGAGCCTGCAGGGCTCTTTCTGTCCTTTCAGCCACATGTGAGGGGAAAATTAAGGACACCTCTTTTTTAAAAAAAGAAAAAAACTGCATCATTCCAGTCAACATGTTTTCCATCCATCTTAGAAACCTTCAAAAATATTTGAAGAGGGATAAATTGCCCAGAATTGAGGTTATAAATCAGCAAAATCTTTTGAACTGTAATAGCAATCCTGAAAGGGGGGGGGGGGGCCTTGTTGTTGTTCAATATATTTTTATTGATTTGAGAGAGGAAGCGGGGGAGAGATAGAAACACCAATGATGAGAATCATTGATCGGCTGCCTCTTACATGCCCCCTAACTGGGGAATGAACCTCCTGGCTCATAGCTCAACACTCAACCACTGAGCCACACTAGCTGGGCAAAACCTTCTTGTTCTAAACTGGTTGTTCTTTCAGATTAAATATGCATGATGCCCCAGATAGCTCTCTCACCTCACTCCCTTTCTCTCTGTCACCTGTGAAGGGTAAAAAATAAAATAAAAATACATGGTGCTTGAAACTTTAATATCCTGAATTACCCATGTTGCCAACTCTAATGAGAGAACAGTTGCTCTTTGTACCTTATCTTCACATATTCTAGAAGAATCCTCCGGTATACTACTTATGTGTTGAAAACAACACAGACCAAGAAAAAAAAAGTTTTAAAAAGACTGGAAGTACAGATTTTATTGTTACCCAGAGTTTTTCAAATGTATGCACCATAGAAGATGAGCATAACCAATTGATTTTTTCCCCATGCGTAACTCACTGGTGAGCCTCTACGTATCCCCAGGGCAGGGGCCATGATTTGTTATTCAGAGAGCGCTTGGTATTAGTAGAGGCTCCAAAATCTTTGCTGGCTGCGGCTGAGTCCAGCAGATAAGAACTGTGGCTCTTAGCACCTGTTTAGCGTATGTGTTCAAGATCACTTCCCTGCAATCCATAAAATATTTTTTCAGCATTTGTGTTTAAATGATTCCTTTCTAAATTAATTACATGTGCTGCTGTGGTTAACAATCTAAATGTGATAAGCACTGACTTGGGCTGGTTGTCAGAGGCCAGGGTTCTAGTTTCACCTTGGTTTCTGGCTGGTTATGGTGAACAAAACCATTAGTCACTCAGAAGCTGTGTCCTCATTTGTAAAACTAACCCTAACCTCCAAAGGTTCTTTTTATGATTCATTTTTCAAAGACACCATGAACCTGGCCTTGCCTCAGATAAATGGAAACTTTGTGTTTATACAATAAGGCACATATATCATGCCCGTTTACTCTGAGTATTACCCTTGAAACAAGGAAAAGGTTATAAATATGTAAAACTTCTCCTTTGTTCTTTCCTTTTTTTTTACTTCTTTCTTTTTTAAAATAATATCCCAGCTGGAGAGAAGCAACCAGGATAAAAGTGAAGAAAACCACCTCCCAGTCTTATCAGCCATACACACCATTAGACAAACACATTTTGTAACTGTATATAACCTCAGCACGCAGCTGAAAGACCCCAACTTAACAATGGGGTGCTTTTTATGACTATTGCATCGGTTCTGCGGCTGTGCAGTGAGACAGGTTCTCTTCTGCTGTTGGGGACTCAGGAAGGCTTTTCCAACACACCCCCTGTACCTCCAGTCACGTGACCTGCTACGTAAGATAGGAGAATTGGAACTTAAAAGTTGGAAGAGAATTTAGAGGTCAGTTTTAAAGATGAGGAAATCAGTAATTTGCCTCATCTGCAGCTATATCATAAACACCAACCTGGAATCTTGTGGTTTACCCAATGGGACTTATAAAGATATGAGTCTGAGAGGGGCCAGTGGGTACATCCCACTTTTCAAGCCATTGTCATTGTGGCCTGAAGGTTTAGCGTGTTCCCTATCAAACACAATACACAGAGTTGCCGCTTAAGTATTTCAGGACCTTTAGCTAACCTTTAGTGAGATTTCTGAGCTGTTCGCCATGAAGGGAATTAGAATTGCAAGGCATGCCCAGGGGCACAGGTGAGGAGGTGTAGTGCTGACAAATGCTAGGGGCTTGGCTGGCAGCCAAGAGGACTTCCTCCTTCCCAGGATTCCTGGTTTTCCCTGCCTGGAGTCCAGGTGGGACATCCAAAGATTGATGCTCAATGCAGTAAAAATGTGTTATAATAGGCACCGTGAAAGTTTTGCTCTTTATCTACAACCCATTAAGCCAGCCAAAGATGGGTAGCATTTAAATCACTCGGCAACAAAAACAAATTTACATTCTTGTAGCAGTTTCTGTGTCAAGAACTATGAATTCATTTAATCCACACTAAAACCCCATGAGGTAAAGACTAGTATTACCTCCATTTTTAAGGGATGCAGCCTTTATCTTTTCTGTATAATAAACATATTAATGATTTTTACATTGAAAACATGTTTCGATGACACTATTTTGGCCATATTGGGGTGGGGGGAGAGGAAAGTGGTGGCTCTCAGTAACAAAATAAAAATTTTATTAAATTTTGACTAAAGTGACTACAATCCTCAATTGCATGTATGTCTGCACTTAGGAATTCTTCTCTGGTGAGATGTGGTATCTTCTTTCTCCTCCCCCACCCCTCCCCTCTCTCTCTCTTTTAAGGGAATGAGGGTGGGGAGGCAGACTTATAGGTACAATCTCATACATCTATTACTTTACCTTGTTAAAAAGGATTTTAAATTCTGATTCTTTCACTATGTTCACTGTCCTCCTTAAAGATTTAGCTACAAGGAATAAATGTCAAAGTACATATCAAAAGTCTAATGTAGTATCTGATCACTTGATAATAAGTGGAAAAATGAGATCATTACGGAGGTAGGAAAGAGAATTTCTTCACATACAATTTTAACATCTTTAGAATATTTGGAAGCAATTAAGCAATTCAGGTTATAATTCTTATCCACAAAATTTAACATTTATATAGCAATCAATTCCTTACCCACAATTATTTTAAAATATGTTTTTATTGATTTCCGAGAGAGGAAGGGAGAGGGAGAGGTGGAAACATCAATGATGAAAGAATCATTGATCGGCTGCCCCCTGCACGCCCCTTACTGGGGATGGAGCCAGCAACCTGGGCACGTGCCCTGATGGGAATCCAACCACTACCTCCTGGTTTATGGGTCCACGCTCAACCACTGCGCCACAGCAGGCAGGCATGGTCTTTTGAAGGGGTCATGGAGAAAGATTACCAAGTACATTGGTAACATTCTCTCTCTTTTTGCTTCAAGGTGTTCTAGAATGGCCATTCTGGACAAAACTGGTTGTGGTGGCCATCGGCTTCACAGGAGGTCTCGTCTTCATGTATGTACAGTGTAAAGCCTACGTCCAGTTGTGGCGCAGGTTGAAGGCCTACAACCGTGTAATCTTTGTGCAGAACTGCCCAGACACTGCCAAAAAGCAGGAGAAGAGCTTCTCGTGTAACGTCAACATGGACACCAAGGATGCGGTCGTGGTGCCTGTGTCACAAACAGGTCCCAATTCCCTGCCCTCCCTGCCCCCCGCAGAAGACAGCCCTCCAGAAGTGATGCCAGTGTGACTGATACAACAGGTGGGAGTTCCTTCAAAGAAGGTCTTTCTAACCCTCGGCCACAACAAATGACAGAGATGATCCTGAATTACTCACTTTCTGTATCTTCTCCCCTTTCTCTCACTGACTCGTTTCCCTTATTTGGCTTAGAAAGGAAAGGAGGAGACACCAAATGATAAGACCCCATGAAACAGAGTCTGAAGTGATCCGGAAACGTGACAAGTTTGCTGAGGAGTCGTCTCAAAGGATTAAAAGTCGCCGGAGCAAGGAATACTTTCAGGCAATGTTCATCATCAGACCAAATGGGCACACGAGTCTTCACAGTAGCAGGGGAGAGTTTAAGAACACAGGCTTGAATTGTAATATGTATTTCTTCTAAGGCCTCGTGATGTTTAACTATCTCGTCTGGAAATAGCAAGCATAGTTGGTTTTAAGCTTGAAATTGTCCGCACTGCCCCTCAGGCACATCAGAAGCACACTCGGAGGATGCATCTTTGATATTCACACTTTGACGGAGAACAGAATTTGATGGTTAGTGCAGTCCAGTTGTTTTGACAGATGCATGATTTTAAAAGACACAGTATGTATTTGAAGATATTAACTTGGAATTCTATTTAAATGGTGAACAAAAGATTTTCAGAGATTTGGGGGGGGGGGAGGGAATTATTTGGCTGTTAAATATCCACATAAGTTGAAATCAAGTCTCAGGTTCCATATTTTATCTGGACCCTCTAAAACAGTGTAGTGTAGCAGAAGTGTAATGTGAGCTACAAGTGCAGGCTACCTATGTAAATTTAAATTTTTCTAGCAGTCCCATTAGAAGCTTTTAGAAGAAAATAAGTGGAATTAATTTTGAGAATGTCTTTTATTTGACCCTATGTATTCAAGTTATTTCAACATATTATCAATATTAAAAAATTATTGACTCTGGCTGGGTAGCTCAGCTGGTTAGAGCATGGTCCCACAGGTTTGATCCCTGGTCAGGGCACATACAAGAATCAACCAATGAATGCATAAATAATTGAACAACAAATTGATGTTTCTCTCCCTAATCTCAATAAAAAATTATTGAGGTAGTTTACATCTCCTTTTATGAACCAAGTCTTTGAAATTCAGTTTGTACTTTATCCTTGCAGCATATCTCAATTTGAATGAGCTATATTGGCTTAGCACAGCCCTAAACTTGGAGACAGAGCCTCTGATTCATTCAACAGCTGAATACTTCAAAACAACAGCTTAATTCACTCTTTCACTCAAAGTCTCACAAATGTTATAATTTTTACAAAGCACTAAATTAATCTAATTAAATAGGCTGGTTGAAAAGTTAGACGAAGTCACTAAAGGATGAAAAAACGAAAGTATACTAAGATACAGCCATCTGCCCAGGGCAAGGTTCTGCAAGAAACCTGTTTGCTATGATGAAGCACTTCTGAAGGGGAAAATAACAATTAAATATTTTGTTACTAAGTCAAATGTGTAAGGCTTTTTTAAAAAAAAAATCCATACAATGTGTCAACTTGACAGATGAATAGTTAAGCATTTCAACTCTATTTTTAAAAGCTGACAGTATCTCCCTTGCTCAGCTGGGAAGCAAAAACATTCAACAGATTCTGTGATAAGTAATAAATTGAGTTGTTTAGGTTTGACAGTTCAGTTGATTATTGTGTTCTCTGCATATTCATGTAAAACTGGTGTGAATGATGTTGCAGTGAGCTAGACTAATGATTATAGATATAGTGGCCTGTCAAAAAAGATGTCTTACATTTTAAAGAGGTGATTTATTTTTGTTAGCTGTCATATTTATTATTGTGAAAAGGCAACCGTGATGGCCATAAGAACCAAAGCATGGGTATCGCATTGCACAAATCCGGGTATCACATTGACGCACTTTGTAATTATCTGTGTGCTTGTTCTTCACTGATTATCATAGGAAAAAGGGGAAAGAAATAACCTTTTAATGAGAAAGATGACTATTAGTAGTGGCTGACACTGAGTCCAACAGTCCCGATTCCTAGAAATAAAGGGAAACAATGTCTACCCTGTGTGTGTGTACTCATGTACATACATGAGAAAAATATTCTCATGCAGGCAGGAAACAAAAGGTTTGAAACTCATCTTTCTTAAAACGTATTATAGGGATGTGGCATAAAGGCAATGAGAAAACAAAGTTGAGGTAATTAACCTGAACCAAAATTTCTGTACAAATAAGGACATAAACGGTGTACTAGTAATAAAAAATAAGGACCTAAACAAACTAAACTCCATGCCCCCCTCCACCCAAGGGATTAACCTTGATTCAACTGAACTGTTAATTTTCTTAAGCTTTTTACTAATCTACATTTCCTATGGTTTAGAGATGGCAACATGCTGTTTACAAATACTCCTGGGTGGAAAAATCTAGCCACCAGCAAACAAAAAGAAACGATTTCTCTTTTGTTTGCTCTGGAAAGAAAAGGATTGTTAGCACCACAAATACTGTTTATATACTGTGCAGACCTAGGCAAAATAGATCCGTGCATAGCTTATTTCACAGTGGCAGGTGACTGGCTAAAATAAGGCCTCGTGTATTAAGGGCTTCCCTCAACACTAAGAACACATTTCTGGGATGAAAAGTAAAGGTGAGCATTACTGTATGAATGACAAAAGATGATAGGGTATTATCTTAAAACCAAACCTAAATTCTCAACATGAACTTGTACAGGCTTTGACTTTTTTTTAAATGAGAAAATAATAGAGCTCCCTAGCAGGTTAAAAGTCAGTATTTTATTCTGCTATTTTTCTGACCGTTTTGAACACTGAGCTCCTGAATTTAAATCTTTTTAAAACTTTTTCTGCAATGGCTGTTTATGGTTCAATCTAAATAACTATGTGCACTTGAAACCAAATGTGGATTATTTTCTTCTTATGTTCTGTGTGGCAATGGTGCCTTTGCCCTTTCGAAGGATTTGGCTTTGTAACAGGGCCTATGTGGACTGGACATACCCTTCAAAGAGAAGCGCTGCTCTCCAGGATGACGATTTTTCCAAAGCACGTTTCCCCGCTCATGGAAGAAATAAAATGGAATTGAAACAAAGGACTGACATTGAAGAATGAGCTGACAGTTCTGTTCAGAACTTTGGATTCTTATAATCATGAATCTGTGGTATTATCCATCCCATACATCACATAGCTTTATGCTGTTAATTTTTTTAAATAACTGCCACTTTTATTATATAGGATCAAAAATTAAATTATAAAGAATTAAGATTCAAGTATCTTTTTAAAAGTGAAGTGCAAAGGGCCATGAAGCTTAAGTACAAACACAAACCAAAATAGAAAAGAAAAACAAAAACAGAAATGACCCCATCAACCTGAGAGAGCAATGGAGAATTTAAAGAAGATAGGTATATAGACTGAATGCCCCAGGATTAAATCTCCACTCTGAGCTGCTGGTACATGTGATTCTAGTCCCAGAGAGATGGCCCCATAGTTACATTTATCTTGTGCAAAAGGTCCGTGGATCCTCCTCCAACCGGGAGTCTTTGGTTGGGAAATTAGCTCATCAGTGTGGTGACATTATTATCATAGTCACTAGGGTGAGATGGGGAAGACTGTCCCATCTGCCTGATACAGTTTATCTAGCCTTGCCTTGCCAGTGAACATTTTGGAACAAAGTGGAGCTATTAAAACTCATTATCATCATTATTGTAGTTGTTATGTAATAATGGTGTAGGACTCACACTTTAAGAAAGATGAAAACCTTTTTTCTTTCCTTAAATCAGCCCAAAGGTGCTATTTTACATATCAATACAGTTGAAAGGACATCCTGTTATTTTGGGCTGTTTCCTCATATCTGATGAAAGCCCACTTTGAGATTGGATTTTGCATTAAAACAAACAAACAATTATTTTGACTGTGTGCAATTTTTGAGGTTGAACATTTGTACTTTTTTGGTTTTACCTAATTCTCTTGCATTAACACTTTACTGTTTTGTGAATAATGTGTATTAAGACAAATTAAGGAAAAGAATATAATTATCTGTGAAAGACTTTGTATATTAAACAAGTGACTCGTACCTTTTTTGTGGTTTCCATAGTTATTTTTTTAACTTACCAGAATTTCTGCTGATTTGTATCTGCAACATTCAAATGAGGGAGTTATTCAGATTTTTCAATGGTCTGGGTTTTTAATCTGAGTGTGAACATATTTAAAATTATTTTAAGGCCAACATAGACTGACTAACCCATGACATTGTAAAGTCTGATAAACATGCACGAATGGGGGAAAACAACAGAAATAATTATACAGACTTTCAAGCCCTGCTTTAAAGATAACAACACAGGCAGAGAAAGCAGCAAGTGCCCAAGTCCTGACTAGGAAATGTCAAGCAAGGTTCAGCCAGTAAAGAAACCACAAGCCCTTGTTAGTGTCAGACAGTTCGTTAGGTAGACAGCAAAAGAAACCCGAGCTATGGAGCCAGCTGTCTGAGTCCTGCCCCAAGGAAAGGCACAAAAAGAAAAGGGCCAGATGACAGGATGATGGAATGTATGGGCTGGGGCCCACTGTTACTGAGATGCTGATTCCACATGCAGCTGAGCAATTTTATGGCCTTGATTGTATGTGGTACATGTGGCCTGCAGCTACACCCTGAAGAGATGACAGGCTGAAACACTGCTACCTCATCACAACCCAGGAGGCAATGACAAACTGGGCCACAGGTCATCCCTGTAAGACAGGGAGGCAAAGGTGAAGTGGCCGATGACAGTTTCTCACAAGCATCTCATATCGTGTTCCAGGAAGATCACAGGGCATTCTAAAGCTCAGATTGGCTGTGATCAAACCTGGTCTAAGTGGCCACACACATGGTCATCAGGATGCCAGCACAGAGCTGTCCCACTGTAGGAAACAGCTTGGTTATTTTAGGAATGGACAGAAGGCCAGTGTGTCTGAAAGGCTAGTGGAAACAAGCTGAGGTTGGAGAGGCAGTCAGGAATCATTACAGGCCTCTTTGGTTGCGCTCCAAACCTGAATTTCATTCAAAATGTGATGGATGTCACTGTAGGCTTGTCAATTATAACAGGTGTACTATTCTGGTGGGGGATGTCGATAATGGGGGAGGCTACACGTGTGTGAGGGCAGGGGCTATATGGAAGATCTCTTACCTTTCTCTCCATTTTGATGTAAACCTGAAACTGCTCTATAAAAGTAAAGTCTTTTTAAAAAGTGGTTAGAAACAAAATCATACATCAAAGAAACAAACACACCATTAAAAATGTGATGGAATGAAACTGCGACAACATTGAACAAATGAGCAGCATATCTTAGTGTACATTCTTAAAATGAGCAGCTCTGGAGAATGGGTTAAGTGGAGCAAGAATGGTGGCATGAAGGCGCCAGGAAGCCACTGCACACAGTACAGCCAAAGGCTCAGGGGAGGGTGACCAGTGGAGATCACCTGACATGGGCTGATTTAACATTCTTTTTGGAAATAAGAAACCAGAAATACCCAATAATTACATTAGACTGGGGGAGGGCAGGGAAGAAAGAGAAGACTCAGTGATGATTAATATCCTTTTTTTTTTTTTTTGGCTTGAGAAATGAGGTGAAAAACTTGGGGAGAATCAAGGTTCCTGAGAAGGCAATAGGGAGTGGGATCCAGAACAGAAGTGGGAGGACTGGCCTTTGAAAGGAGAAAAACTACTGCACCCATTAAACGGAAAGAAAATAAGTTTCTGTTTTCTCAATTATGTATAAAAAGTTAACAGCTGAACACTGGGGAAGGTAGTATTAAAGTCAAACTAGGAAGCATGAAAGAGCAGTAAAAAGAAATTACCTCAGAGTTGAAAAATGAGCTTCTTACGGGAAACCCAGTAGAACTGCTAAACTATGTTGAGAATCCACTTGAGATTTGGAAACAAAAATGGGAAAATGGTCTGTCTGATAGTCTCCAGCAAGGCTGAGCTGCTTGGGAGCAGGTAGAAGGGGACAGTTAAGTGAGCCTTACTTGGTTTGGGTGTTGAAAGAGGAACACTGTGCAGTCGGGCAGAAATTGAGAGCACATGCAAGGAAGCCACTAGGAACTTCAGCAATGGAGAGGGATGGGAGACAGAGAATGGAGAATGAAATGCTCAAAGTCAAGTTTATAGAAACTTCAGGTGCTAAGGATCTGGGTGGGTGTGACCACCTAAAGGCTTCTGATGGGAGAGAGAAAAAGACTGAGAAACTTCAAGAACACAGTGCGAGATCTGTTATTCACAAAGCTACTGGGATCACTAAAATGATTGAAATAGAGAAGAAAACTGAGCCAAGAGCTAAAATCTTCAAGGAATGAACAGAAGGTCCTTCTGGGAGGTAAGACAATACGGAAAGGGGGAAAAAATAACAGAACTGCAAGGAACTAAGGGAGAAATTACCTGCACGTGGCAGTAGAGCAAAGAGGACACCTATCCAACCTCTGCCTCTGAAGTACAAGGGATATGAGTAGAAAAACCTTGTATTTGAGGCTAGAAAACTAGAAAAACACTTAAATTAGCAAGGCAAGGAAGTGACTAGGATACTAGGAAAAGAGACCACGGATGTCAGAGTTGGTTGCTCTGAGCTCAGAAGTGTATCACTGGCCTATGTCCGTGAACGTTCAGCTCACTGATTTAGAGCAGCAGCTGGCAAATTATGGCAAGCGGGCCAAATCCATCCTGCGGCCTGTTTGTGAACGGCATTGAACTAAGAATGGTTTTTACATTTTTAAAGGGTGGCAAAACACACACACACAGACACACACACACATACAATTATACAACAGAAAGCACACCTGACCTGTAACACCTAAAATATTTACTATCTGGCTCTTACAAAAAAAAAACAACACAAAACACTTTGATAGGCCCTAGCTTATACAGAAGTGCTAACAAAGTGAGTTACTCTGTCTCTGTGCCATGGCCATGGACTACAGAAGCCATCATACAAAGACAGACTACTGATCTAAAAGGAGTCTAGATAAGGGAGCACAAGTTATTACTGCAGAAAGAACATATTCCATAGATAAAGATTAAGTATATCACTTAAAAGCATTACTCCAAAGACAAAGTATGTCTTAGGCTACTTTGGTCCAACAAGAAGTGACATGGCAAGTGTGGTTCTAGATGATAAAGTCAATCATTCAACATTTATATGTTCTAGTTCCAAGCACTGTGTCTTGTTACATTTTTTTTTTTTTTGGCTTTGATATCATAGGGAAAACTAGGAACAAATGCTTGAGGGGAAGAATAATATGTCACTTTCACAAGTTACTCACCTGACAGCATGGCTTTTTAAATATCAGACCACATAGCACACTTACTATTCTCTTTACTGTAATTTATGACTCAGTTTTCATAGCTGTTTAAGACTAAATATAAATCCTCCAAACGAAGAAATTTTCTAATGATTAAAGAGAGACCTTATGTAACCATAACCCATACTTTCACACAGATCACTAAAGCAAAGGCAAGTCAGCAGCAGTTACATCACTGCAAATGAAATAATTAGAAGTGAAATTATGAAAATAAATTTTATTTTTCATTTTCAAAAGTAAAAAATCCATAACATTTTTAATAAACTGTTAATATAATTTAGTTGATACCTAGTTAACCTCATATGGCATTAATGTTTTATTCCTTTTTCTTGAAAAGACTCCAATATGCTTGCATTTCATCTTTCAGAAATAGACTAAAGGATACTTGCATGCAAGTTCTGCGAAGAACAACCTTCTACTATCTCCATAATATTCATGACATTTGAAATACTGAGTTATACTAGTTGTCATTTAACCTACCTCTTAGGAGAAAAAATAACACAATTGAAAAAATTGGTTCTCTAATCTTTAGGTCTGTTTCCACAAATAAAACTTATCACTTTTCACAATGAGAAAGTAGAAAATGCCCCCAAAATGTGAGATTAGGTGATCCGAAGTAAACATGAGGAAAAGAACTAAAACATTTTTAGTTCTTAGTTTAGCATTATCCCGCCCCAGATAGTAAGATAAAATTGATCTTAAAGGTCACTATTTTATTTTATGTCACTGTATCTATTTTAGCAATTTAATGTAAATAAAAAGCAATATTCATTTTTAAATAAAAATCAAAACATTATTTTTTAGGCTGCAAATGGTATTCTCATCTTGTAAGATAAGCTAAATAGCAAATTCTTATATCTAGACAATTCTCTAACATAATCAATTCAAATGTAACTTGAGGTTCTCAAATTACCTATTTTCAACTCAAATAAAGAACAATTAGGCCACTGCAGTCATTTCCTCATCTGAGTCACTTGATTCCTCATGTAGCTGTAGCTCCTCTAAATCTTTGTCCACAGGTGTAGTAGTTTTCTTCTTGTGCTTCTTGGGAACTGCATCGTTAGCGCACATTTTTCTCATTTTAATGTTTGGCAATTTCTTCAGATCTAAATCCCATTCCCTACGCAAAAGAAAGAGTATAGATGGTTGGCAGGCTGTGAGGTGGGAAGCAAGAAAAAGTCAATATTTAAAACTCTGAAAGGAGCAGAACAAAATTTGTAAATTTACAGCAGATTCAAATGCACTAGAGAGAAACAATATAAATGCATTAGAAAGAATCCCATATATTCAAAACTCCCAAAGCAATTCAGGAAAATGTTACACAAAAATTACAAGGAGGCTCTGTTCCCTTCTTTTACTCTCCCTAACCAGAACACTTAGGTCAACAGGGCTCTATGGTATCAAGAATCTCACAAGTAGGAACTGTAACATACCTGGCAACTCTCCAAAATACATAGTCAGAAAAGTTTTTTTCACACACAGTGGTAAGTCACAAATAAGTTTCAATCATCAAACAACTTTTATGGTTATAATAGAAAACTGAGTTTTTCAATCTCAGCATTTACTACAACAATCCTACATTTTATTTACTTGAGGGGCAATGTGAAGATTGTTTTGAGAACTGAACTCCAGCAATACTAAAAATAGTCTATGCTAAGTTCTTCTCTTTTCTGGCTTTCTTTCAGAGAGGCAAAACATACTTGTTTTAGAAATAAAGAGCACATTTATATATCTAACTAATTAATATTACAGGCAAATAAAGTAATGAAGGTATAGAAAGAATCTTAAACTCTATGTATCTAAATTATAAATACATATACATGAGCTAAAAAGTAAAGTACTTCTTAAATATGATCAGTGAACTTTATTAGAGACAATATTTTGTAAGTACTAAATATCAAGTATTTTTCTATGAAGTCAGAAGCACAAAACTATAAAATGAGCTTAAAGGTATCAAAGAATATGACTGGACTTAATTTATCTAATTTCAATTGACATAAAATTTTAGACCCATCAACATGATCTAATACCAAAAAGGTTAATAGGAATCATTTTTTCAAGACAAAGAAGCCAAGTTGGAAAAAACTGAAATCCTACTCAGGGGTCTGGCTGGTCAGAGTGCTGTTAGAGACCACGGACCACCTGGTTCAGGAGACTCAGCCTTCCCCTGTTAGCACTTTCCACTAACCAACTTCTCCAACAGAGGATCCTGCAGACAGTCTGGGATATGACTCTGAGCCATTAAATCAGTTGCTTTTATTTCTTTTTTTAAAAAAAAGAAAATAAGAATTGGTGAGGAATAGCGAGATCAGGTTCTTTTAAGTACTGCAGTAAAGCATTTTAAAATGTTTTGAAAAGGAAATAAAAGTAGCATGTCACTAGCATTTCAGTGTATATCTGGTGTTTCAAATAAACACAACTTGGAAAATTCTACTTTGTCTGATAAAAGAGAAAAGGTTAGAAAAAATAACCTGACTTTCTGTCAGCTCTGATGTCTACACTGAAAAGAAGAAATTTTATGTCTCATGTATTTGACATGCTGTTCTGGGAACAATAAAAGTGACAAACTCACCTAAAAGTTTTCAGATTACCTGCATTTAGAATATCTGGAATCTCTGGGAAAGAACATAATTCATATCCATTAGGTAATGTTTTCTAAATTACAACATTTTATAGTTTCCTCATTTATTATATCAGATGCAACAAATAATAATTGACAGACAACAAGATCATCTAAAGCAAACAAAACTCCCAAACACTGTTATAATGCTACATGAAAGTAAGTTTTGCAAAAATAAAAGGCTTAGCTTAAGATGATTTAAGAACGCTATTAAATAATAAATTCTAGCATAGAAATCTGTAAAAGAAAACAAATCTACAGTAATCCTCCCTGATCTGCAATTTCACTTTCCAAAGTTTCAGTCACCTAAGGTTAACTGCAATTTAAAGTTATGAAATGGAAAATTCCAGAAATAAAGCAATTCCTAAGTTTTTAATTGCGAGCCATTCTGAGCAGCTTGATGAAATCATCTCACAATGCCCCCCTCTGTGCCAACTGGGACGTGAACCATCCCTTTGTTCAGTGTATCAACCAACCTGCTGTCAGCCACTTAGTAGTCGTCTTGGTTATCAGATCTCCTGTTGTGGGGTCCCAGTGCTTGTGTTCCCTTATTTTACTTAATAATGGCCTCAAAGCACAAGTAGTGATGCTGGAAATTCGGAAATGCCAAAGAGAAGCCATAAGGGCTTCCTTTAGATGAAAAGGTGAGTACTGTACGTCTAGCAGATTATGCTGCCAAACCATCTGATTTTTTAAGGCAAGCCAGAAATCTCTATTTTTCATGAGAAATCACCAGGGTTTTTTTATACTAAGAATTAATAAGCCAATCAATACCATTTGCAGGCTATATGCAGGCTTTGGGTTGTCATCTGTCTGTGGCAGTGGTCGGCAAACTCATTAGTCAACAGAGCCAAATATCAACAATACAACGATTAAAATTTCTTTTGAGAGCCAAATTTTTTAAACTTAAACTATATAGGTAGGTACATTGTTATTAACTTAATTAGGGTACTCCTAAGGCTTAGGAAGAGCCACACTCAAGGGGCCAAAGAGCCATATGTGGCTTGCAAGCAGCAGTTTGCCGACCACGGGTCTGTGGGCTCTGTTAGCCTTAAGTACCTTCTCCTTTTAAGTGCTTTTCTTCAGACAGTGTTGGTAAACTAATGACATACTTGTCCTTAGGAATGGTAAGTGCTATCATGCCCAGAATGAATATTGGATTTCTATATTTCTCAAGAATGACTGCAACAACCACTGCTTGGTTCTACAAGAATTACAAAGACGACAAGGACACAGTACCACCTTCTAAAGAAACTTAGATGTAGTTGGAGATGGGCAGGTAGTAACTCTATAACGAAGCAAACAGGTATGTGCCAGAGGCGAGGAAAAACTACTTTCACAGTAGAAAGAAATGATGTCACTGTCACAATGGACAGTTTGGGGGAGTGTAGAAAAAAGAAGAATGAATTAAAAATGATCCCCTATACTCACAAAAGAAAGGAAATCAAAGGAAGAAAATCAAACTAAATAGAATAATAAACCTTTGAAGTGCACTACAAATCTGATATTGCTATGTATGTCAGAAAGAAAAAGGAGCATGGCAGTGAACATACCGAGGCCATAGCCTTCATACTGCTGTCGCTCCCGCTCCATCGTCTGTTTGATGACTGTCTCCCGGGAACAGTGCCGCCTTCCCTGCCTGTCTTTGATGCTGTTATGTAATTCAATCTGCTCCAGCTCACTGCTGAATCGATTTAAATACCTGAAAAATAAGAAAATGATCCGAGTTACAAAGTCTGCATTTTGGCTTATGCTATTTCATTGAAAACATAATTCCCAGCCTTTGCCTGTCTAAATCTTTATATTCCTCTGAGTTCAAGTCCTTAGAACTCAGACCTTCCCTGGATAACTCAACCATTCTCAATATTTTTGCAACCAAATCACCGCCTGCTATTAAAGTATCTATTAAACTTCAGATGCTCATTTTCAACCACGTCCTGAACATCTTTATTTGAAAGTCCTGTAGAAACTTAACACATCAAAACTGAACTTGTCCTCCTCCCTGACCCCACCCATCCCCACCAAGCCTACTCCATCTCTTTGGCTCCCTATCTCAAGAAACAGTACGACCATTCATCCGACTGCCCAAATAAGGAGTAAAAGTGCCCTCCTTCATTCCTTTCCCCCTTTTATGCCACATCTGTTTTCACTAAAGATTGAGACTTCTCCCTTTTTTATATCTCTGGAAACCTTCTCTTCCCTTCCCTTCACCACACTGCTACCAAGCAAGCAGAGACTACCACCATCTCTTGCCTGGAGTATTTGTTTCATCAGCCTCTCAACGGTTTCCTGGCTAATGCCAGGTCTCTCAGGCCATTGTCCTCATTCTCACTACTGTGACCTTTCTAAAGTTTAAATATGATCGATCATCACCAGAGCTTGCTGTAAAAGCCTCTTATGGTTCTGAATGTCCTTTGATAAAGTCCAAACTCTTATAATGATATCTGAGGTCTTTCATGAGTTGGTCGTCACTTATCATACCTGTCACAATTACCTTCTTGAACCTGTTATTTCAGTCATATCAGATGTCTGCCAGATCTCTATATATGGCACTCTCACCTGTAGGCCTTTTAGATATTCGTCTCTGCCAGAGGCTCTTCAATCTGCCCTCAGATTGAAGAGCCTCTGACCCCTACCCTTCAGCTATTGCTTCAGATGATATATCTCCAAGAAGCCTTTACTGACCCCAAGAAATTGGATTAACTACCACTGTGAGGTACAGAACAGTTACAGCCTGCTAAAGTGAAGAGGCTAGGATATAAATCCAAAGTCTCTTTGATTATAAAGCCCATTTGCTCTTCTATAAATCCAGAACACAACTGTCTCTTAAAGAACCAGCGTGAAAAATTCCTTTTTCTGACCCTTTTCTCATAACATGCCCAGTGTTTACCTTTCAATTAATTCACAAGCATCTTTCTTTGAATACCCTCCTTTTTTGGGATCCAGATGATTTTGAAACCACTGCAGTTTTTCACCTATAACAAAAAGTACCAAGATAAACACCATGGTCATCATTTAAGTAAAGAAATATTCACTTTAATTTTCAAAATCAACGTGTTTATAAACAGTATCAAATTTTATTTCCACACTAAATATAAAATCTTGTGTGGGCTCAAAGCTAATTAAACCAGTCGTAAGAAATTAAATTGTCACATTTTAATTTGGGGAAGAAACAGGAGCGAGAGGGATGCTTCTCTGTATATATTTCTTATCCAATAAGGATGCAAAAAATTTTTAACAAGAATACTTTAATAGAACATGAAGTTCTACGTATTTAAAAAGCAAAGGGTAGAACTTGTCTCAAATAAAATGAAAACATTAGATTAATAATGAAAATGGTATCTGCAGAACATTTTATAAGCAGCAAGCACTAAGTCAAAAGCTTCACAATCCTATAATTAGTACTATTATTATTCCGACTTACAAATGAGAACGGTTAAGTAACCTGTTCAAGGCCTCAAAATTAGTAAATACACTAAGTGTACAAGATCTGCCACATACAACGAGCTAATGGACCTCATTCTTATGAGTAAATCAGACCATCAGGGTCACTTGCACAGTGATTTCTCAAAATTAGAGATGAAGAAATGGCCTCCCCCAGAGGCTGATAACCCACTTAGAAATACTACTCCATTACCTTATGAAGTGTTCGGTAAGGGTTCAAATACCTTTAATTTTAGTAATAAAGCCTAATAGTCACTATTTTGAAATTTCAGGCTTATCAGTAAAAATTTACTAACAGTAAATATGACACCTCTCACCCCCAAGAACAGACTATGATACTGAGATATAAACTGAATATTTGGAAACATTACATATGCTGTTTCCAAAATACTTAGGCCATAATTCTAATGATTAAGGAGCCAGAATTAAACTTCAGCCATAGAAAGATAGATAAACAGACAAAAGCAAATAGGTAGACAGGTACAAAGGTAGGTGATTATAAACCAAACAATTTTTGAAAAACAAAGTTAGATATTAACAACTAGAGGCCTGATGCACGAAACTCATGCAAGGGGCTCAGCCCGCGCCACTGCGGCTTCATCTGGAAGGTCGTCCAGAAAGATTCCGGTCTAATTAGCATATTACGCTTTTATAGATGTTTTAAGAGTTTAACAATTGATTTTACTTTGTACTGTTTTAATCAAGCCTGGTAAAGAAAATTCACTTAGATAAAAATAGTATTGCACTAGGAAAGTCAAAAGAAAAATAGGTAGAGGGCAGAATTTCACTGTACTCTAGCAAAAATGTCAAATAAGTAAATCCACTTACCAATAAGATTGAGCCGCAATGCCTTTTCATTCTTCAACCTTGGAAGAAAAGGTGCGTAAGTATGTTAGAGAATTTCCAAAGCACGTTTTTAAAATCTGTCAAAACAACAAAAAGAAAAACTGCCTAAAGAACCTTAATTCAAAGATCATTCTTTCATACACATGAAATTAATTTTGTTAATACGGAAGCACTGAACATCATGCTTTTTTTAAAATCACTGGAATGAAATGTTATTAGAAAAATTTTCTTAGCTCTTCAATGACTAAAGGATATGTATAAAACAATAAGTTTTATACAAATAGAGATGAGAGCTTGACTAGATTATGAATGTTGAGGTGGGTTTGGAAGAATATTGTGCACAAAAGAGTGATGATGTAATTAATACCTTCTAGAAGACTGAGTTCTGCCACCAAAACCAAAATACATTACTGTCACTTTTAAACTTCAACAAGAACAAAACAGAATCTTTACTGTCCATAAATTTGAAAAAAATTATAACAAAGAACTCATTTATTCTCAGAAAACAGTTTAGACATTATGTATCTCCTTTTGTTTATATTCTAAATACTAAGTCACCCAGAAGAGAGCTTTGTTAGCTAGTGTTTGCCACCCACTAAGAATGCTGTCCCTGCCCTAAGAAAGCTGACCAGATTTACTCTTGTACTTTAAACAACTGGAAAAGTGGATAATAAAATAAAACCTCTTTTATAAAATAATTTTAATCATAGAATGGGAGAAAATATTCACAAGATAAATAATTAACAAAGGATTTGCATTCAGAATATACAAACAGTTCTTCCTACCTAATGAGACAACCCAATACTAAAAAAAGCACAAAAGATTTCAACAGATTTTTTTTTCATCAAATCAAAGGTATACAAATGACCAATAAACACATAAGATACTTAACATTGTTAGCCATCAAAATTACTAAGTGTGCAAATTAAACCACACTGAAATACTACTTATACTGAATAAATTAAAAAAAACTGATAATACAATATTTTTGAGAGGATATGGAGCAAATGTAACACACACACTGGTGATTAAAATCTGAAGTGGTACGATCATTTTGGATAAGACAATTTCTTACATACTTAAACATTACACCTATCATATGACCAACAATTCTTATAAACTTAATTTCTTATACTCTTAAACATACATCAATTCCAATTCTAGGAACTAAAAGAAAAATGAAAATATATGTCCACATGAATGTTAATGGCAGCTTTATTTATGATAGTAGGGGCTGGCAAATATTTTCTTAAGTGGCCAGATAGTAAGATGTTAGGCTCTGCGGACCATGTGGCAACTACTTGCCTCTGCCATTGTAGCCTAAAAGCAGAAACAGACAATGCAAGAGGAATGGGCATAGCTACTTTCCACTAAAACTTTTTTATATAAAAACTAGTGTTGGGCCCTTATTTTGCAGACCCTGATGACAGCCAAAAACTTTCAACAATCCAAATGATCATCAACTGGTGAATGGATAAACAAACTGCATAGACATCCAATGGAATACTATTCAGTAATAAAAGAGAAAGACAACTAATATGTGAAATAAAGTGAATAAATTTCACAAACATTATGCTAAGTGAAAAAAGCTGGCACACAATATTACCTACAATATGATTCCATTTATATGAAACATTAAGAAAGACAAATCTCATCTATAAAAATAAAGAGGAAATCAGTGGTTGCCTGAGGCTGGAGTGAAGATTGACTGGGAAGAAGCAGAGGGAATCTTTTGGGAAGATGAAAATACACGATACACTGACCATGGGATTACACCAGTTTATTATCAAAACCCCAGACCGGTACACTTAAAATATGTCTGTTTTATTGTATGTTATTTATACCTCAAAGTTGACTTAAAAAAAAAAGATGCTTCAAAACTGGGTAGAGAATGGCTTTGAGAAGAATTCATTCCTTTTAAATAAGCCTGGAGGGAAGAATGTAGTGAGTGGTCAGGCTGAATGAACTCAATGACAGCCTGAACCTGAAGAGAATGAGTTGGGATAAAGAAAAGTAGAGAGATATGAGATTAATTCTCAAAAGTAGTTGTTTCCTAGATTCTTACCCATTATACTTAATTTCCCTTTGTTACCTTTTCATACTAAGTCATTTTCATTTAGTGTCTAGAGTTCCTTACTACATACCCTGTGGGACAAGACATGACAGTACATAATGAAATGTTGCTATGCTGGGAAATCCTATCTAATAATAGACAAACATGGTAATTGACCGTACCTTCACTATGCCTCCCAATGGCTAATCAGTGTGATATGCAAATTAACCACCAACAAAGATGGTGGCTAATTTACATAATGAAGGCAGGGCGGGACAGCACAAGCTGCCAGCGGGAGCCGCCATCCAGGCCCCATGTGCAGCCCCAGAAGCCACCTGCCTGCCACCCGGGACCGGATCCAGTCCAGGCCGCTGGCCGGCCCCAGAAGCCACAGAAGCCGCCTGATCTGGCAGTAACTCTATCAGTAAGCACTCTGAAAGTCAGTGGCATAAATGCACCAATTAAAAGACAGATTATGAGGGTGAATCAAAAACACCTGCGCGGGGCCATGGAGAGCGTGTGCTGCTGATGCCTGTGCCCACGCTTCATTAGTAAGTGATCTGGGGCACTGAGTCCCATGCCTTTCAGCCACCCCCTGACACCCCTAGAGGGGGCAGGGGCCCTGCTAATTGTTTTCTGGAGAAGCTTCTACTCTCTGAGCTCCAGGTGCTATTGCTGCTTTTCTGTAAATGGATTCCA